CACCTGGATTTGAGTTTCAGGAACAATCTCCAGGAGCACACTCACCCCTAACCTACCTCACAGGATTGTTGAGAGAATAAAATGGAGGAGAGAATGATGTAAGCCACTTCGGGACCCTACTGGGGAGAAAAATGGAGTAGAAATTAAGTATAAATAAATAAATAAATAGTGGCCCCGGTCACACGGGCAGGAAACTGCAGAGGAGAAGCGTGGCTGTTTGCCCTGGGGCAAACTACTGCGCAGTTACGTGATCAGACCGCCTGTGGAGGTCCTGTGGAGGTACCATGGAGGTTCCATGGCAAGGGAGAGGTGCCGATCACAGGAAAAGCCGGCGCACAACGAAGAAGCGTACGCCGCGGCAAACTGTTTTTTATTTTTGTGTACATGACAAATGCGCATGCTCCGTTGGGTGCGCATGCGCATCCACAGAGACTTGGACAAAAAAACACACCTTATTTGCAAGGGGACATGGGCGGGCGCCGGATGCCACCGGAAACGCGATCAGACGCCCGCCCTTGCCCCGCAGTTTCCGGAAACTAGTACCTCCAAGGTACTAGTTTTTTGCCACGCAGTTTCGGCTGGAAGCCTCGGTTGAGCCACGGGAGTGCTACGCTTCCCAGATGTGCTGGTGAGATCGCGCCCGGAAACTCCGTTTGTTTTCCGTCTCACTTGTGTGGCTTCTGTTACGTGTGACCGCAGCCAGTGTTTGTCTGGTCCTAATTTACAAATGCACAAAAACCAAACCTTTGATTACCCTGAGCTGGATAGCCCAGACAAGCCTGATCTCGTCAGATCTCGAAAGCTAAGCAGGGACGACCCTGGCAAGTATTTGGGTGGGAGACCTCCAAAGAATACCAGGGCCAAGAGGCAGAGGCAGGCTATCAAGCCACTTCTCTTAATCTCCTCCATGCCCCAGTAGGAGTTGCCAGAGGTCACCATGACTTCCAGGCACGAGCACTCACACACCACGCACTCACACATACACACGAATGCAAAAATACAAAAAAACCCAACAACCAACACTTCAATTCAGTCTCAAGACCATCATCATTTCTTAATTCAATGGAGTGAGCGTTCTAAAGTGTGCATTTCTTACTAGTTCACCACCCTCGCTGACCACAGGGTTTTCTTTTTGTTCAATCACCTGCCTAGCTTGAGAAAAGAAAGGCTGTGTCCGGCTTCCTTACACACACGTAAGGATTTTTGTCTTGGCTCAGGAAGGATGGCTCCAGAGCAAACTAATGTATGCAGTAGCCAAATGGCTCGCTCACAACTTTAACGCCAGTAGCTCACAAAGTAGAAGATTTGCTCACAAGACTCCGCAGCTTAGAGGGCGCGATGGCAGCGACCCTGAATTTCCTTGGTGGTCTCCCGTCCAAATACTAACCAGGCCAACCCTGCTTAGGTTCTGAGAGCTGACGAGATGGGACTAACCTGGGCCATCCAGGTCAAGGCAGGTGTGATGTTAGGCATTGCGACATAATCTCGATCTGCGGTTCAGCTGCAAAAAGCAACATGTTTGTAGCCAGAAATGTTATGGTGAGGGACTGCAAATATACTGAGTGTGGGGTACAGGGTTCTTACTAATTAAACCACGGCTTCACGCTATATCTGAACCAAGCCAGAGAGACAGCAGATTAAAAAACATAGATATGAACAGGCGCTTACTTTTGTTTCCATATGTTGTCAGTAGGGCTTTTTTTGTAGAAAAAGCCCAGCAGGAACTCATTAGCATAATAGGCTACACCCAACAGCATAAACTCATTAGCATATTAGGCTACACCCCTGACAGCATAGCTCATTAGCACATTAGGCCGCACCCCCATATTACCAGAAGTGTGGTCATCCAGCCACACCCACCTTTTGCTTCTTATTCTCTTTACCTTGTTTGTTGTCAAAACCCAGGGCTTTTTGCATGTTAGGCCACACACCCCTAATTGTAGCCAATCCTAATGAGTTCCTGCTGTTGGGTGTGGCCTGTTATGCTAATGAGTTCCTGCTGGGCGTGGCCAGCTTGGGAGCCAGCCGGAACTCCGTTCCTGTGTGTTCCTGCCCCAAAATAGCCCTGGTTGTCAGTAAAAAAATACCTTGGTCCCCTGTTTTCCTAGCGAAGCCTGATTTTAGATTATTGGGTCCTAAAGAACAAAACATCCTGACCTGAATAGGCCGATCTCATCCAGTCTCAGAAGCTAAGCAGGGTCAGCCCTGGTTAGTACTTGGATGGGAGACCAGCAAGGCAGTCCAGGGTGCCTATGCAGAGGCGGCAGGCAATGGCCAATCCACCCCTGTTTGTCTCTTGCCTCGAGGGTCCCCAAAAGTCAGTTGCGACTTGATGACACTTTACGCCAGAAAAAACACAACTTATTTTTTGTTGTCACAGAGTTAGATTTGTGAAACCAATAATGGCATCAATGAGGGGGGGAAAGGGGGCCACAAAGAGTTGTGTGGGGGGGAACAATTCGGAAATCCCTGCCCCCTTGGGCTGCCACTCTCCAAGGGGCACCTGGGGGATCTCCTGCTATTACAGCTGATCTCCAGACGATCAACACCAGTTCCCCTCGAGAAATGGCTCCTCTGGAGGGTGGACTCCATGGCAACATATACCCTGCTGAGGTCCCTCCCTCCCCAGGCTCCACCCCCAGAATCTCCAGGCATTTCCCAACCCAGAGCTGGCAACCCTACTCCCCTCCCTCCCTCCCCAAAATCACCCACCTCAGCCCAGCCCAGCCAGCACTCTATAGGTTTCCAAAGGCTTTATCAGGACTATTTCTCCTATATCCCCTTTAACTAATTCTCAGCCGCTCCCAACCTCATTTGTCTTCACAAGCACACACTGTTCTCAGGAAAATTCATTTCATTTTTTTCCTTCTATTCATTTACAAAGTCCATATTTTTTTTTGTATTTTTCGAGTCTCCCAAGGATGTAGATGCCTCAGCCTTGTCTGTGGTTGGCCTGGGGTGGCTGCTTTCATGGTTGGGGGGAGGGCGTGGTTTGGATGCAGCCACAAATAGGGATTACAAGTAGGGGTCTACAAGAGATTTGCAGGGAGGGGATATTCCCCCTCCTTTGCTCCCCCATGGGCACTCCATGAAATTGCTGAGCACTCGGGTTAGAATGGATAAAAGGAAGTACTTCTTCAACCAAAGAGGGATTAACACATGCACTGCCACAGGAGGTGGCGGCGGCTACAAGCATGGACGGCTTCCAAAGGGAATTAGATAAGCATATGGAGCAGAGGTCCATCAGTGGCTATTAGCCACAAGGTATTGATAGGAACTCTGGCGCAAGTGATGCTCTGTATTCTTGGTGCTTGGGGGGGGCTTCTAGTGTCCCGGCCCCACTGCTGGACCTCCTGATGGCACCTGGTATACTTGGCCACTGTGTGACACAGAGTGTTGGACCGGATGGGCCATTGGCCTGATCCAACATTGGCTTCTCTTATGTTCTTACGTTCTTATGTCCTTTCCCTCCATCTTCCCCAAGCCAATCCCCCTTTTTTTCTTTCCAACCCTCCACCAAGCCAATCCCTCCTTTGTCTTTCTCTCTCTCTCTCTCCCCCCCACAAGCCAACCCCCCCCTTCTTTCTCCCTTCCTCTTTTTCCCTACCTTTGAGCCCGGCAACAGAGGCAGTGCCTGGGAGCTGCTTCAAGCCTGGAGCAGCTCCTGGTTGTGGCCAGCTCCAGAGCAGCTCACAGTGTTCCCTGGTGCTGCAGCCGAGTCCGGAGCCTTTCCTGGCATTCCCTGCTGCCATGACCAGTCCCACAGTGGTTCTCAGCATTCCTGGATCGGCTCCACAGCAGTGGCAGCAGCCAGGCTCTCAGAGCTAAGTTGCATGGTCTGTGCATGCACAGACAACGTTCTTTATTTGGGGGGGATTTAAACCCCCCAATGTATTTTTTTTTTAAAGTTTTCAGATTTTTATGCAAACGTAGGAAGTCACCCAAGCATGCAGAAAACATTGTTTGGATAAATATGTCCCCTGTCTGCGAATTTAGATATTCACACATAGGGGACTATTTTTTTTAATCACTTTTATTGAATATCAAACAATACATAGGAAACAGGAGGATTCAGGCAATGTTCCTCATACAATATAACATAGGGTAACACATATATGTTACCAGATATGTTATCAGATAGGCAGACGATACCACTCTAATGGCAGAAAGTGAAGAGGACCTAAAGAGCCTCTTACTCGGGGTAAAAGAGGAGAACGCAAAAGTGGGCTTGAAGCTCAACATCAAAAAAACTAAGATCATGGCATCCGGCCCCATCACTCCTTGGCAAATAGAAGGGGAAGGCGTGGAAGTAGTGACAGACTTCACGTTCCTGGGATCCCAGATCACCGCAGACAGTGACAGCAGCCATGAAATTAAAAGACGCCTGCTCCTTGGGAGGAAAGCGATGGCGAACCTAAACAGCATGATAAAAAGTAGAGACATCACCCTGCCAACAAAAGTCCGCATGGTCAAAGCAATGGTATTCCCAGTAGTCATGTATGGCTGCGAGAGTTGGACTATAAGGAAGGCCGAGCGCAGAAGAATAGATTCTTTTGAACTATGGTGCTGGAGAAGACTCTTGAGAGTCCCTTGGACTGCAAGAAGAACAAATCAGTCAATCCTCAAAGAAATCAACCCTGACTGTTCCCTGGAAGGCCAGATAATGAAACTGAAGGTCAAATACTTTGGCCACCAAATGAGAAGGGAGCACTCACTGGAGAAGACCCTGATGCTGGGAAAGATTGAACGTCAAAGAAGACGGGGATGGCAAAGGATGAGATGGTTAGACAGTGTCATAGATGCAACGGACATGAAATTGAGCAAACTTCAGATGACGGCGGAAGACAGGAAGGCCTGGCGTGATCTGGTCCATGGGGTCGCAAAAAGTCGGACTCGACCATGCGACTGAACAACAACAACAACACACACATAGATTAGCAGAAGCACAATAACAGTATCAATACTGAGAATTAGATATATAGATAATGGGGGATTCTCACCTCCTTGCCAGTTGAACTGCATCAGAGACAGCGCTGCCATTGACCAGAAGGGACACATTGGAAACAGCTCCTGCGAGGAAACACTCCACAATGCCTTGGTTTCTTCTTGGGCAGTAGCCAAAGTCATCTCCAGTTACGATAAGCTTCACAGTAGCCTTGGGCATCCTTAAGAGTCAGCCCTAGCAAGAGATCAAAAAAAGCAGACAAGAGTGCAAAATCAAGCCAAAGTCCTCACATTGACAGAATTACAGGAAATGACTGCTCCTGAATCAAAGCATGAGTCAGCTCCGGTTACAGCTGTTGCTCTGGCTGTTGTCATCCAACCTTTCATAACTGGGTGCTAAGGAACATCGCTAATGCTGGCTCACCTGGGCTGTTCCTGCCCATTCTCCCTTGAGGAGTTCAGTGTGAGTTTACTTTGCTATTCAAGGAAAGAAACGAAGGTGTGGCCACAAATGCAGTTATTCAAGGGGATTAAACCCAGAGCATTCTTTCCCCAGAGATTAAAAGGTCGATGGGTTCAAGAACATCCTGCAACTTGTCAACCGTGCAAGGGCAGCCCTGCCAGTTTCTCACAGCCAAGGCAATAAGGACTTCTCTGCCACCCAAACATGTTTCACGAGGCGTGATCTGCTGTAGGCAAAGTCCCTGCTCCGCCAATTGGAGGGAAGGCCAGGGTGGATGGAACAGACAGGCAACTGCTTGCCACAGGTAAAGGCTGAAATGGGCTATATTTTTTATCCTTCCTTTCCTCCTAAGAGCTCAGGGTGGCATACATGGTATCACATCTCCTCTGTTTCTTCTCACAACAACCCTATGAGGGACGGTTAGGCTGAGAGAGCGCTACCTCCCCAATCACCCAGCGAGCTCCATGGCAGAGTAGCGATTCAAGCCCCAGTCTCAGTACAATGCTCTCTTACAAGGTAGCTTCAGAAGGTAGCCATGTTGATCTGCAGTGTTAAGAGCTAGACTTGAGTCCAGTAGCGCCTTAGACAGCAACAACCTTTTCAGGGTATAAGCTTTGGAGGCGAAGCTCCTTTTGTATCTGACAAAGGGAGCTTTGACACCTGAACGTTCATACCCTGGAAATCTTGCTGGGCTCTAAGGTGCTACAGGACTCGAATCCGGCTCTCTTACTAGGTCACTGTCCAAATTGTCTCAGACAAGGACAGTTCTCGCATCTAATTTTACGTGACATAGGTATAAATCTTGAGCTCCCTGAAAGGTTTTGAAAAAGTGTTAAAAATAAACAAAAAACTTTGGGGAGTGGGCTTGCGAGCCCTAACTTCCTCACCAATATATAATTCATCTTTGGGGGGACAGCAGCAACTCAAACAGGCCCAAAATGTGCCAGGGTCCAGCCATCTTATCACACAATCGAGTCTTGTCCAAGTGTGGGAGGATGCATGCCCAGTGCCTTCTGAGCTCTCAATTAACATGAAGCCAAAAGGATTTGGGCTTACAATCACCCCCCCCCCAAAAAAGGTCATATTAGCCTGATAAAGACCCTCACAAGGATAGCAGAGGATCTCTGTCCCCTCTCCTTCATCTGCTTGTCCTTTGGCAAGTAGTTTCTCCTTTCTCAGTAACAGAGTCTGGCATGGACAGAGGAGGATCTTCTCTAGTTATGAGGCAAGCAAACAGGATGTGCCACGTCATGGGGCGAGGGAAGAAGAAGAAGAACAGAAGAAGAGATTGGATTTATACCCCGCCCTTCACTTGGAGTCTCAGAGCGGCTTACAAACTCCTTTCCCTTCCCCTCCCCACAACAGACATCAGCAGGTGCAAGTGGAGGAGTGGGGAATCAAACCCGGTTCTCCCAGATTAGAGTCCGCGCACTTAACCACTACACCAAACTGGCTCTCCATGGCAGAAGCGGGGCTGAGCTGCTTCTATGGCTTTTTGCCAAACCATCTTAACAAACAAACTGCTTGGTCATTCAGGAGCGGTATGGTTTGAAAGTTAGAATAGGTTCCCTGAGGAATAAATGAACTAGAGAAGGAAACTGACTAATCCAGTATTCTAGTAGGGGTCTGTTTGTTTTTTTATTTGTTTTTAATTGCCTGGCTCTTTGTAAAGGCATGTGAGAGTACAAGGGGGAGCAGGTAGATTTAAAGTGACCAGTGTTCTCTCTAAGCTGAGTTAGCGTGAGCTAGCTCAGTTTTTTAGCCTCTGGCTCACACATTTTTGCCTTAGCTCAGGAAGGATGGCTCCAGAGCAAATTAATTTATGCAGTAGCCAAATTGCTCGCTCACAGCTTTAATGCCAGTAGCTTACAAAGTAGGGAGCTGCGGTGGCTCAAGTGGTTAAGACGCTGAACTGCAGGCTGTGGAAGGTCAGTAGTTCAGCAGTTCGAGACCAAGGTGCCGCATGACGGAGTGAGCTCCCATCTCTCGTTCCAGCTCCTGCCAACCTAGCAGTTCGAAAGCAAGAAATTGCAAGTAGATAAATAGGTACCACTTCGGTGGGAAGGTAACAGCGTTCCGTGCGCCTTGGTGTTTAGTCATGCCGGCCACATGACCACGGAAACGTCTTCGGACAGCGCTGGCTCTTCGGCTTTGAAACGGAGATGAGCACTGCAACCCTAGAGTCGGATTCGACTGGCTTTCGACCAAGGGAACCTTTACCTTTACCTTACAAAGTAGAATTTTTGCTCACAAGACTCCACAGCTTAGAAGGAGCATTGAACGTGACTACTGATTAGTCCAAACAGCAATAGCTCAGACTGAGCAACAAAACATCCAGCTGTGTGTATGTCAAGTGCTGTCAAGTCGCAGCCAATTTATTGCGACCTAGCACAGTTTTCAAAGGCAAGAGAGGAACAGAGGTGGTTTGCCACTGAGGAGCATCCCTGGACCTCCTTGGTGGTCTCCCATCCAAGTACTAACCAGGGCTGACTCTGCTTAGCTTCTGAGATCTCACAAGATCGGGCTAGCCTGGGCCATCTTATCTGTATAATCTCACCCAC